CAACGAAGTCTTACTGGAAACAGGATTTTTTATTTTCTTTTATGGAAAATCTGAGCAAAGTATCATTTTTTTCAACTTATGCTTTTACAAAAGCCTGGATAAATTCAGGGAGAGAGGTCAAAAGAGTATCTTTGAGTATCTTCTTTATTCCTCAAAGAAGAAAGCTCCTATGGTGTGAATTCAGGTTTATTTAAACGCCATGACATTATGACTAATATATTGGATGAGAAACCCCATTTTCAATTCTAATTTTTCCATATAAGTATACTTCCTGAAATTTATTATTGTTTTACTTTGGCTTATAACCTGAAAAATTAAATACTGAAAGTGTCTGTCAAGTTTTGCAGTTTTCCTGCTAAGTGCAGTAAAAAACAGCTCCAAGAGTATAAAACAAACGTCACTTTCATAAGAGCAAAGGAACATTTGACTTTCAAATAAAGAATGTACCTGAATCCACGCTGCAGAGAAATTGAGACGTTAGTTTAATATTCAAAAATACTGCAGACTAGAAAGTGAAAAATAAAAATGTATAGACTGTGATGAAAATGTCATCACAGGCTCAGTAACAAGAGATTTAATGTGGAATTTCACTAAAAAATGCAGAATATTAATAAATTATAATTCTTGGGAATACAATGGGAGGGCAGTCAGAAACTGACATCTTAATGAAGAGAACAAGGCATTTATTTTTAATCAACTGACGTTTGGTATGCATGTGCACACACATACATTCATATGAAGACCCTTACATTCATAAGAATATTTAGACACTCCTATGTACACTGATGATTCTTCTCTGGCATTTATTTTCTAAAAGCCTTAGAAATTAGTAATTCTCACTAATAAAAATCACAAAGGGCATTCATACACTTTTAGAATTTTATACCATTTATTACAAACTTAAAAAAACTGATATATTTCGAGATTTTTTCTCTGAAGCAATCGTACGCCACGATCTGCGTCGACTTCCACACCCACATCCCAAAAATCTATTAAAGCAAGCAATCAATAACAATAAAAGGCACGAAAGAAGACTAAGAAACTTTTGTATGTAAATATTTCTGTCTGAGATGTGCAACTGTACTATATCTCACAGACACATGTTTTGCCCTGAAACATTCAGTTCACTTATTATATTTGTCTGGATGAAAGTTTGTAGTTGAATTGGCACTAATAAATATTGAAGACTTTTGTTTCCCTATGGAAAGGAACCATGGAAAACAAGATACAAATAATGTAAAGAATCAAGAGGAGATGGCTCACATAACCTTAGAAAAATTAACTGCAAAGTACTACTGAATCATTCTAAAGAGAAAAACACACCTATGGAAGACATATCATATTACAGTCAAAATATCTACTAATAGTGATAATAAAAAGAAAGCACAACAATCATTTTAGTATCTATTAAAAACACATATCGTGATTGATATATGTATATTTGCATGTATAAAATGCTTATCTACATTTTCTCATTTATTTTATAAAATTTCTTTCTATGTAAAAATGAAGAACTCCCTGTAGTTCCTTCTACATAAAGCATTTATTTATGATAATATGCACATTAATTATTGCTTTAATCTATAGTTTATTGGTATCAGTTGTCTCCCTTGATAATAGATAGTAAATTTACTTATCTTAAGTTTTCTTCATTGTTCCTCATTAGTTATGATATTATAATCAAACTAGTTCAATTTAATTTCAGAATTACCGGCTGAATTGAGCCAATTTTCACATGTTTATATTAAAGTAATTTACATTTTAAAAAATTTTTACATTGCATAGATAACAGTGTGACTCATCTCACACGAGATTTCTGGTCCACATTCTTTTCACTAAACAGCACCTGCTAATCTAACAATTTTTCAGCTTGCCTTGTGGGAGTGGATTTCTTCTTATAATAAAATTTACTTTGGTTAAATGTTTGAGGTAATAGGTATTGCAATTACCTTGACTTTTTTTTTTTTTTTTAAGACAGTCTCACTCTGTTACCCTGGGTAGAGTGCCACGGTGTCATATCTCAGAGTAATCTCAAACTCCTGGGTAGCTGGGACTACAGGTGCCCACCACCACACTTGGCTAGTTGTTTTTATTTTTAGTAGAGATGGGGGGGTCTTACTCCTGCTCAGTCTGGTCTCAAATTCCTGAGTTTGGGGATCCACCAGCCTTGGCCTCCCAGAGAGCTAGAATTATAGGAGTGAGGCACTTTTTCAGGCCAATTACCTTCATTTGATCCTTATTCGTTGTATTCATGTATCAAGATATCATGTGTAGCCCCCAAATATGTACAAGTATTATTAGCAAAACAGATTTATTTTGAAAATGTCCAAATCATATGTTATAATAAATAAGGTTCCTAAGCATGTGGCTTTACAGCTATAATCTATTTCACTTGTGCTTATGGAGGGTAAGTTTCTGGGGCTCAACATTCATTTCAAGGTAGATTCTGTAAGTGTAAAATGTATACCATAAGATCTAAAACAATTGCTAAAGTAACAAAACATTATAGCTGATAGGTCTACAAAGAAGATATAATACAATCACAATTCTATGAATCTAAAAGAAGCCAAAAAGAAAAAAAGGAAAAACAAAGAAAAGATGTGATTAAAAGGAAATAAATAGCAAGATAAGGGATTCAAACCCAATTACATGGTACTCATATCAAATATAAATGCCAAAATGAGCAAGTTAAAAAACGGAGACAGACTGAAAGAAAGGAGACCAAATTATAGGTTTATGGAAGAAATACATTTCAAATACAGAGTACAAATAGGTTAAAAGTAAAAGTACACAAAAATCATATCCAAGGTAGAGTTAATAAAAAGAGCTCGGGAGTGCCTCCATGAATCTCAGACAATGTAGATTTTGGGAGCAAATAATATTGACAGGGATACATACATTCCTTTGCCAATAGTAAAGGGATAATTTGATCAAATGGACACTAAAATCCTAATTGTTTATGTATATTTTAACAGAGCTTCAAAATACATGAAGGAAACACAGGTGTAACAAGGGGAAATAGATAAATCTATAATTAGGGTTGGAAATGTCCACATTCCTCTTTCAGTAGTTGATGGGGCAAATAGACAGAAAATCAGCAAAGATAAATAAAGCCCGAACAGCACTGTCAAGCAACTTGACCGACTTGACACAAAAATTGGACCTGTTTTAGATTCAGATAATGAAAGAAAATACACTGATGTGCAAATGTACAGTTTATCAATCAAAAAATTATTCACATACATATATTAGATCACATTTTTAATATAAATGGATATTCAAAAAAGTATTTCAACAGTTCAATGATTTCACCATATTTTTCTTTGTGTTTTTTTCCCCTAAATTAACCCACATAAGGATTTTACTATTATAGATGTGCTTCTGGTGAATGGTATACATGGACAATGGATGGCGATACTTATTTACCTTAAAATTAATTTCAAGCCTATGTAATTGATGAAGTTTAAAAAAGTTCATCTTATGAAAGATACACTCTTCATGAATCACAATGTCTACCGTAAAAGGTGAAACACAGGAACTGAAATAGTTACTTAAAATACATTATGGCAGGCACTTGTCTATGGCTCCTAAAATAAATTTGAAGACAATTCTATCAAATACCCAATATTCCTTCAAACTTAGTTGTGATTATCAGCTATGCCATTGTTTGATGATCTTCTAGGAAAACAATAAGCACTCCCAATTGAATTGTGGCACTGTATGTTATAACAGTTTCTAAGAATTAACATGTTAAATGTACATGTGTCCTAAGATGTTAAGTAGGTGTGTTCTGAATAGATGTGGCTTTTCAAACCTAATCTTTTAAAATCTGAACCTAAAAGCATGTCTCCTTTAAAATAAACTTTGTGGAAAGTGAATTCAGACTCAGTGGAATCACTGAAATAGGTCATTCTAGGCCTAGTGTATTGGGGGAAATTTATAAATTCTCTGCCATAAATACTTGAAGTAAGAAAGATGTTTTCATCTGCCCTCTTGGTTCATAGCAAAATAACAGTAAGGTCAAAAACGCTGTAGAACAGGAGCAAACTCATTACTAACTCAGAAATACTTAACATGTATGAAAGAGTTCATTATATTTTTCCAAAAATTTTCAGCTAAGAGTTTTTGCCTCTGTCTCCAGAAAGCTGGAATTCTTTGCACAAAGACTCTAAGCAATGCGTTCATTCAATTTGGTTACACTGCAACATCGGTTATATGTTAACACCTGATCCCAATTAGGCATTGATCTTGCCCTGGGCACATTCATTCTCCAGGGTCTCACAGATACGGACAATAGTAGATACTAGGAAGAGCTGTTGACACAGGTAAGAACCGTTTTAGAAAACTATGAAAAATTGTATGGTGCATATTGTATGAGGTTAAGTGTATATGTATTGGCGTGTACATGTACTATTTCAGACAGATTATAGTTCAAAGAAAAAATCAATCTACATATTAAAATACAATCAAGGAACCTGAGCAAATATCTCATTTTTTTAAATAAACTATATAATCAAAATTGGTCTATTTAAAAAATTTCTAATTGTCACAATAACCAAGGAAATTGAAGGAACCTGAAAATGTTTAATAATCCCATGAAATCTTTTTCTCCGAAGAAATTCTTCTCTAACATCTGCAATTTATTTTAATAAAGAAAGTAACAGCAGCATGTGCTTCAGCAGTAACTTCACATGTGCCTGATGGCAAATTATTAAAGCCTTTGTTACATTTATAAAACATAAGGTGAACAGAATCAGATCTTAGATAAATGATAATATGGAAAATTTTATCAGCAAAACAATTTTTTTCCTATAGGTTGCACCATTACATGATGGACTACCAACTCCTTGTAATACTATTCTTCAAAACTTTTTATTTAACATACGTTTTCAGTATGGATAGATATTTTCAGAACAGATGGGTAAGCAGTTTATTCAGTTAAACCTGGGTACAATTTGACCCTCCAGTTCTGAACTTGTTAAGCCACTTGGGAGACTTACCTTGTCTTTTCTTTGCTTTTCATCCTGGTAGACAGTCCAGTGTTCTCCGTCATTGCTGTAAGCTAGTTTGTAGGAACCAACAAACTGTACGTGACCAAAATCTTTCGCTCCTTGTGTAATGATGCCAGTTACTTTGGTAGGGACAAGAAGATCCACCTGAAAGAAGGAAAAAGCACAGTTTACATCAGCAACTGAGTCTTGTAAATTTGCAAGTCTTTTAACACAAGAGACTTAAAATCGTATATAAGACAGAAAATCAACCTGGCTATTTGTATTTTGAAACCAAAGACTGAGTCTATTGTTGGCTTATAGTTTTGATTCTGCCACTGGATAAATGCAGTCCAAGACTCCTTGAATAATCAATTTGACTATTATGAAATAAAATAATGGTACTTCAGTCCACCATTTAGTTTTATATTAAATGGATTTACCTATTTGTACGACTTTTGTGTAACTGAGACAAAACAAAACTAGCAGGGCTGATCTTCTAGAGATTGTTCATTACCTTCCAGAGTTTGTGGTTATAATTTAATACACTGACTTTATTGGTTAATTCAATAATAAAGATAAAATTGTAGCTGTGTACATATCAAGAAGAAAAATAGTATGAGATATTTCACCATTAGACATTAAATACAAGACCAATCTTGTTTCCACGAATTTTAAGAGATCCAAGAATATAAATAATTCAGTAATAATTAGCAATCATTGGCCAATGAAAATCTCCTTTGAGAAAACAACCTCTAAAAAGGTTCAGGAGAATGGCAAGTAGTCTTTAAAAGTAAGGGAAGATTAAAAATATGCATTCCTCACTTGTGAGAATGCTTATCATGTATTCTTTTCTGCAAAATATATACTTACAGGGGATGACACCCAGGGCACATTAGGTCTATCAAGATGTAATCAAAATGTGAAAGATCAGGGTAATGTTTTCAAAGAAGCATATATCACATAGAATAGTTCAATGTCTCCCTCTTTTTTCTCTCATTCATTGCTGCATCTTTTCTTACATCTCACAAGTCTAATTTTTTTTTTTTTTTAAGTCTAGAAATCTTTGTTTTCCATGTGGACAACTCTCAGAAGAACTTGGCCTTTCATTTCACTTGCGTTCCTTGATCCACAGCTTCCGCTGTCCTCTTACAATAGCCACCTACTTCCACCTATTTCCTGTGACTAAGTGCCGGATACGCCCTTGATCTTATCATCTTTAACTGTCATGATCCCACGTGTGATCTTGGTGCTTTCAACCACTGCGCCCTTTTGTTTCTATTTTAGGCCTCTATCCTGTGAGATGTAAGGGAGTCACAAATAGACAGAGATGGGTCAGACACAGGCCAAGAAGGAGAAAAGAAAGAGAAGATGCAGAGAATAAGACCATATTTAGTGACAAAGATGTTCATTAAGATGTGAACAAAGTCCCCAGTGTGTCACGGCCTGTGAATATGAGTATTTCTAATCTGTGTAGACTTTTTGTTCAATTTTTGGAACATGTATCAAAGACATTAGGCTCAAATTGGGCGATGAAGTAAGACAGACCACCTTTCATGCTTTATTAAAACATTTCAGAAAATGTATCAAACTCGAAAGTTATTAATTTTTTTTTGCTATTTCTCAAACATCATGTAAAATATATCGTGTGTCCCGAAAATATACAGAATGACAAAATTACAATATCCTGGGAAGGAAATGGTTAATATCGCCCATCATCCTAAGTGTTTTCTGGTACAACCTCATTTAATCCTCTTGACAACCATGTAAGGTAAGATCCCATCTCCACTTTACAGATGAGGTGACAGATACTCAGGCAATGTTAGTTACATGGTGTGTGATCCAAAAATGCACAGTAAGCGAAGGAGGACTGCAGATTCTAATCCATCTCTTTCTGACTCGGAGGTTTATCACACCTTGGTTTCTTAGAGTAATGATCAGTCACTGATTTTTTTTCCAATGAGTAATCACTCATCGACCCCTCATATCACCACTCAATGATTTATTCCCATTTTCTGTGACTACTTCAGAGATTTCTAAAGAATCACTATGGTCATCAAACTGACAAAAACAATTTTGGATTTACAACGTTAGCAAAACCCTGTGTTTTACTGTGAATTGTCTCTTTGTTCTTCGGCCGTCTGGACTTAAAACTCTGGACAGCTTTTGTTAAATCCAAACGTTACTGCACAGAGACACCAGGGAAAGCCGCTATTCTGCAACATGCTCTTGTGGTGTTGCTGGTTCAGTAAACGGTTAAATGTCTCTTACAGAGAGACGTACGTCTCTGTGTCACTGTGCTACCATCGCAAGCTGGAAATGCACAGAAACTCAAACAGGGTCACCAAGGATGCAGACACCTCCAGGGCTGAATTCTGCAGACCCTAAACCGCTTTAAGTCCCTTGCTAAGATGACATGATGAAGAGTCTTCTAGCATTGCCTTTTCTGTGGTATTTTTTAAAGGCAGCTGGGTTTCCTGCTGGGTGGAGATGTTTTCTCCTTAATTTGTGTGTCTTGGCTCTTTACAACAGATATGTTTTTCTCCCACTCTAACTGCTCCCCTTTTCCAACACTTTTTTTTCTATCTAGAAATGTTTTTCTTTATTTTTTTTTTCCATTTAAGCCAGGCTCTCTGCTTAAATAGTCAGCAATCTGTTTCAAGCTGGATTTTGTCCTAAAATTTGCTATACTAAACTTAAAATACTAGGCCTAAGCCAACCTTCTTTTAGTAAAAAAAAAAAAAAAAAAAAAAAAAATCAGAAACTCACACTTAACATGAAGTTGCTGAACCAGGCCGTGTACAAAACAAACCCACCCTGAGACACACTCAGACCACATAACCCCAGAGTTCGGCATGCAGGATCATTCCAGAAAAGTGTGTTCCTCAGGCCCTAATGCTTGCCCCTTCCCTAGGGCCACGCTGCCTTCTCACAGATCTTTGCGGTTAACAGCAAAAATGATGGACAAAATACCTTCTGGAGTTTTAGATCTTCACCTCTTAAAGTGTCGCTAAAATAGAGCAGATTATTTAGGAATCTAAGCTGGCTCATTAGCACACCCAGGGCTTAGTCCACAGCACTTTGAGTCTGTATCTGTCTGAGCCATCCTCACATGTCACAGGACCTCAACAGAAGCGTTGCTGAATGAACAGGAACTGTTTCCTAACTATTTTCTAGGAACAAGGACCAATCTATGACTACGGATGCTACTATGTACCCTAGCCGAGAAGGCTGTCTGCCTTTCTCCTCGTTTTTCTGTATCAGGGAAACACAGTGTCATCTTTCTATCTTTCATTTTTATTTTATTTTTTTTTTACTGGAGAAGACAAGCAATTAAACAATCCTTCTGAAATCTTCAGGAATTTAGGAAAGTCTGTCTGCTCTCCTGGAGCTGGGTGGCTGGGGGCCCGGAACGGGCTACATGCCCTGTGCATACGACTTTACCTCTCTGCCTCCCAGCTTCCTCTTCTGAAAAGTAAGGATCATCATCCCCACAGGATTTTATGAGGATGAGTTAATACTTGCTGTGTACAGCAACATGTGGACTATGGTAAATGCTATAGAAGACTTGGATAACAACAAGATGAAATAAATCTGAGGAAATAATTTAATTTCAGTCTGAAAGTACCTTGATAGAAGGTTATAGAAACAGAGAAGTGAGTGGCTAGAAAGATCCAGAAACAACTTCTGGTTGTTTATTTCATTCAGCTTCTTAGGAATTAAAAATGTTGGTCATTTCATCTTTAGTTAGAGAAGATTTGAAACAATTTCAATTCCCATTTATGAGTCAAATGGTTAACTTAAATTAATGTAACAAATTTCATGGAACCTTATGCATCTCTATTTAGACACTGGCTTTGTTGCAACAGGGAAATGGTTCTAAAATAATATTAAAAGAGAAAATTAGATAAATAGTAAATAGTACTGAGATATTTATTTCATTCTAAGAGTCAAAACAAGAGGGGGATACTTATGGAAATGAGGCTTAAGTGATGCAAAAATAAAACATATGCATGAGAATTATGTAGGATTATAAATTTTTGTTGTAAAACATCCTGTGATGTTTTAGCAAACTATGAATAGTTTTAGAGCATGTCTAACTTAGACAAATGGTGTAGAAAGTTTGTGAGTTTTTGTTTGTAAAAGGTCAAGATAAACAACATTTCATACATTTCGGCAACACCTTGATGTTGGCTCCCTGGAAAAAGATGAGGCAGACTGGGAAAGTAACTTGATTTTCATGGAGATATTCTAGAAGGGTTGAGGAAAATGAAAAGTGATACAGATAAACAGTTGTACAGACAGTGAACACAGGCTAGAGACTTATTGCAGAAATGTACCACCCAGCTGTATCTAAATAACTATTTAGAATGATGCAAGTAATTCAGCTGCATATTTCTACTGAGAATGGGAGGCAGCATAATAACTATGAATATTTTATGTTTAACATTTTTATTTTAATACTCTTTATCATTACAAATGTGAAACATGCTGTAGAAAAACAGAAGAGAGGCTGGGAGCAGTGGCTGTAATCCCAGCACTGTGGGAGGCCGAGGTTGGTGGACTGCTTGAGCACAGGAGTTCCAGACAAGCTTGAACAAGAGTGAGACCCCTGTCTCTACTGGAAAAAAAAAAAAGAAAGAAAAATTAGCCAAGAGTTGTGGTGTGCGCCTGTAGTCCCAGCCATTCAGGAGGCTAACGGAAGAGGACTGCTTGAGCCCAATAGTTTGAGGTTGCTGTGAGCTATGATGCCAGGACACTCAACCCAGGGTGACAGAGTGAGATTCTGTCTCAAAAAAAAAGAAGAGAGATTGAGAAACAACTCTCTCACACCGTCAGATACAATTTGTGCCCTCCTCACTTTATATATGTTTTTTATTATTATTATTATTTTTGGATTCCATAAACATTTATTATGGACCTATTTTTTTTTATTAAATCATAGTTGTGCACATTAATGCTATCATGGGGTACAGTGTGTTGTTTCCGTATACAATTTGAAACATTCTCATCCAATTGGCC